ATTTTTACTTTCTCAAAAAAAAAACCTCACTCTGTATGATTTATAAGCGTTTTGAAAAATGGGGACATGGGGTAATGTCCTCATAAGTCACCTTCTCCTTGTAATACCTATGTCATACCCATGTCATTATACAAATGTGTGTCCTTATATGTCACAAAAACGCACACACACACACACACACACACACACGCTGATCCTGATGCTGGAGTCAGAGCTTCACCTGCAGTGAGTGAGCAGAGCTGGAGTCCGCTCTCACAGCCGCTGTCTGGATGTCCATGAAAGGCAGAGGATCCAAATACCAGAAAAGAGTGTCGTTTTCTGAGGATGAAGATGAGCAGTGCTGGAAAGAGGAGAACGGCGGTGTGGACGCACATCACCTGAAATCCGTCAAGACGGTCAGCGATTCATCGGGATATTACCGGTACAACATGTGAGTGTTCATACAACTCTACAAACTCACACTAATGTCTTTGATCTCAGTGATAAAGCAGTAAAAAGAAACATAACGCGTAAAAAGGCAGACTAAATCATTTTAATTATATGAAAAGTATAAGATTTCAGTATATTTATTTGAGTAAAATATTAGCTTAAAATATCAAGTTGCATAGTCATTTCTTAAGTTTGATTTTTTTTTTATTATTATTAAAATAGGCTACATTAAATATGTATTTAATTGTTCCTGTTGAAATAGCCTAGTCCTGTTGAACCTGTCTCTGCAACATTTATTATCTTGATGCCGAAATGGTATTGAAATGCTAAACGACGTAAAATACAGTTTATTTGTATTTTCTAATGTAAGCTGTGATATGAACCTTAATGCGACACCTAGTGGAAGCTCATTTCTCCACTGATTATTAATGCATGCGTGGGTTTACTGTAGCGATAAATGTGTCTCCATAAGTGAGCTAAATCTGACAAAATCTTCCTTGAAGGCATTTGAGGACGTCATTATTTGAAAAATTAATTAATAAATAATGTCTGTCAGATAAAGTATTTCAGAATATATTTTCAGAATATACAAACTATTATTAGATATTTTTAAACATAATGTGAACAAAAAGTAAAATAAGCATCAACCACCTTTTATTGTGTACAAATTATTCGCAATTTCTTTAAAATAAGTAATTCCCAGCTGAAATGAACAAGTTCAGCTTAAATAAAGTTTTTTTTTTTTTTCAAAAGTTCATCAAACTGTAATGTGTGAGAAAAACAAAGAAAAATCTAGGTAAATATCCATAACAATTTTTCAATGTACATAATTTCCAGTTCTGCTAAATTATGCAAAAAAAAGTCATATTGCACATACAATGCAAGCTAGCTTATTCAAGGCAAAGAAGTTGGCCATTTTCTTCCAAAAATGTTTCAAATGTCATTTCCACCATCAGAGAATGCTCTGTCTTATAAAAGCATGCTATATAGCTGATTAGTAGCAGATATATACAGTACACATATTGATTTTATCAAAAGCAACTTACATAGCCTGCAAGGTACAGTATTTATTTTACTAGCTCATGTTTGTAAAATGAAATGTCCACATGATATGCCCACTGTTGAACGCTAAAATAACAAAATAAATTACAATTATTTTGTAAAAAAAAAAAAAAATACTTAACTCATGTTAAAACCCCAAAAGAAGCTGTGTCTTAACAAGATTTTTACATTTTCTCATGAAAATGTGTTTTCTTGTGCAAAAAGACAAAGAAATTTTGTTGTGTGTTTTTGTCATGTTTAGTAGTTTGTTTGTTTTTTTTAAATATATTTCTAAAAAAAAAAAAGTTTTTATTCATTTTTATTTCAGTTTTGGTTATTTTAGTACATCAAGTTAAATGCAAGCTATGTATGTAAGTTATGTATACATATATACATTTAATTTTTTGTTATTAAAATCATTGATATTGGGATTTTTTTCACCCATTTGTTCATGCGTCAGGCAAAAATCACAAGTCTGATCAGTAAGAAATGTATAGACCATGGTTTGAGTTACTGTTCATGTCTGTAGCACAAATATTGCAAAGTTAAGCAGGTGAAAATCTAATAAAATGCGGCCACTAATGAAGTACAATGCCTGTCAATTCACATCTTGATTTATAACCTCAATGCTGACATTGCTTTTCAGGATATACATGATAATTAATTCAGAACTGGAAAGGGTCTTTCAATACATCACTGAGTCAAAATAACCATTTGTGTGACTGATGCATCTCATTAGCGGTGGATGTGCTGTGCACATGCTGTCCAGACTCTGAAATACCCACAGTTGTCTACATTTCAAAGACACAATGTTCTTTCTGAATAAATAGAGCTGCGGCCTGCAGAATGACAGATAGCCTTCCTCAGTCTTGATTATGCACATCTTTGTGAAGCATTGCTGTGCGATGATGAACATGTGTGCATACGTCACAGGCACGTTTTCACATTTTAAGCATGTTTAAACTCTCACTTTTGCACCTGATTAACAACGAGCTGCATAATTCATGCCAATCGATCCATATTTAACGGTAATGGAGAAGGTGTTTTAATGAGGAGTAGAAATAGCTTCAGCTTACATTTTCTGCTTCCTCATCCACATTTTCTCCGAATGTGTTTTTAACTCAACAAGGAATTTCTGGTCACTTTAGTAATTAGAGAATTATATATATCAAACAGGACCATTGATTAGCCAAAATTGGACCATTTCAAGATTTTGATGCCTTTTTGAGAATTTGAGAACATTGAACATTCCCCTAAAGTTCTGTAAACCTTCCATAAAGAAATAGCCAAATCCATAAATTCCTGGCTAACCAAATACAAACCTTAAAAAGTCCATGTTCTGGGAACATTCCGGGAATAATAAACTAACATTCTCTGAACGTTCTTGGAACTGAAAAATGGCTAGCTGTTTTATATTAATGCTGAAAATTTTTTGGCAAAACTAATTCAGTAAAAGGTGTTCCACATTATATGTCCACTGTTAAACATTATAATAACAAAATTAATTACAATTATTATATTTTGTAAAATAAAATAATGAATGAATAAATAAATAAATACACACATACATACATAATGGGTTATGATCCTAAATCCTTTTTTTTTTTATATATATATATATATATATATATATATATATATATATATATAAATT